CTGCTACGCAGGAGGGAGAGAGGGCTTGCAAGCAAGTCTAATGTCAGGTATAAGGAACTGGGGAATTTTTTTCTTTCACTGGCTAGAGTCCAGATGAAGTACAGCTGTTTTAGAGACACCGCAGTGGAAGGCTTCATCTTTCACTGTCTGTTTTTCCCTCTGTCTCCTAATCCTCGTCCTCTGTGTCTCTTCTACTTTCATAGCAACAATAAAGGATTTGCCAAAGATAAAACTGACTCATAACAGAGCACAACTTCTCCTAAGTATCACCGACAACTTTAAAAGCACTCACAGGTCAATTTAACATCACTGATCTTATCATTACAATGACACGATATGCTGGGAAACCTTGGATTCTGGCATTCATGCAGATGCTACTTTGACCAAGCCTCTCATCCACGCTGACAGCGATAGGACTCTGAAATGGCAACAGTATCCCACAACAGGGGAGACAACAGTTCGGAACAATGACCCAGGCTCCATACTCTCCATATCCCAGATCTCCAAAAGGGAACAAAATACACTAGAAAAAGCTCGATGCATAGAGACGCCATCCTGCATACTACAGGACCCACAGGATCTGCCTAAATAATCTGATGGGTTAGCATTCATTTTAGTATTCAATATAAAAATAAAAACTGCAGTCAATCCTTCAGAGAAATACTCTATGGGGAAGTGTAGAGCTTAATACTCGGTTAGCAATGTTTATACCAGCAGCTACAATTCTAAAATGCTGAATTTTTCAATATCTACAGCACGTTCCCTGCTAATCCATGCTTCCTGAGCTAGAGACACAAAGCAGTGCCATCCTTGTAGACCAACACTGCTAGCTGTTGTTCTCCAGATAAGACACAAGTAGTCTTGCATTTTTCTAGAAATATATTTCTTTTTGTCTTCATTCAAAAGGACAAACCACAAAAAACTGACTGGAAGCACAAGGTTTTCATTTGACATCAATAAAATGTAAGTTGCAGTATATCCTCCACTATACCTCTGCTCTTTGTAGCATTTTATGACATTTATTTGCCTTGTGGGGATTATTTGGCTCAAGTCCAGGTTGCTGATGAGGAATCTGGCTGCTCTCCTGCTTCTCAGCTCTCACCATGCCTCAATGGTTCTCGGCATTCTGCACCAGGCCTTTGGTGTAACAGTCCCTTTTAAGTCAACTCATGACATATGTCATCATATTTATGTTTCAGTCACAGTGGTCCTATGAATATAAAACAAAATTCATGTGCTGACTAATGAGGTACAGAAGTAGATTTGCTGTCTGCATGTACATAAAGAGAGGACTTGAGTGAGTTTTTTTTTTTCTTAAAATACTCCATATGGTAAATTTAATTATCAAACTTTGTTGTAATGTACTTTGATTGACATCATTAAATGGACAGTATAAGTGTAATGTCAGAGATTCTGACTACCTTTCACTTTGCACATTTTAACGTCAAAACAAAACTGTGTCAAAACAATCAAAAAATGTCTGATGAATGGTTATAGAAACAACGTAGGTTTATTTTACTTCTTGATTCTCTGCAAAAGAATCTTTTAGCTACCTTGGAAGTGTTAGTGTGGACCACATCACACAAAATTGTTGTTTATGCAAAATCTCTTGGAGGTTAGAAAAAAAAACCCCCGGCAGTGACAAGCAGTGGGAAAATGTTACAGCCCTGGAACAAGTCATCAGCTGCTCTGCCCAGAATGAATTTCCATGTTAGTTCAGTCTAAGCGTCGCTGTGGGGAAGAACATGGCAGTTATGGTTTTTAACCCAGGTTATACACAGTATGTGCTAAATTCTTGTTATGCTAAGTGTAGATACTAAAAAGTCTTGAAAAAAAACCCCACAATTATTTTTCTGCCACAACAATTAAAACACTCTTTTTTTTTGTCTTTGTTTAAGATTTTAAAGTCACAGACACATTTTTTTTTCTATTTCTGTGCGAAAAATCCGGCCAGGAGAAAAGTTATTGATGCAAAAACGTATGTGAAATTCATCACCTTACACTTTCCTTGCTTTCAACCCAGAACCTGCAGATGTTCAGCTGCATGTTTACATGGTGTGATGCTGTACTTTAAACAGCGTGTGTTCAGGGCCAGTGGGGGATTCTCTGATGGAGCTCTCCACACATAAGGACAACAGTGGCCGGCATATCCATGTCTAGCTCCATGGTGGTCCCCCCCCTTAGTTTGTCAGATATGATGTTTGTACAGATGTCTGGGTACAAAGCAGAAAGGACAAACCCTCACTGCCCCTTTGGTGGTCCCGGCCTACCCCTGACTTTAAAGCATAGAGCCTCCTTTGGCTACAGATTCTATCCCATCATGGGTGACGAGACTTATTAAAGGGACACATCTAGGACTCTGATGCTTTTTGAAGGAGGAAGTCATGTGAAAAAGTCAGCCCAGCTGTGCAAGTCTACATACCCATAATGCCAAGGGGCACCAGAGGACTGACCCAGAAGCATTGCCTATGTAATGCACTCATTTACTCATAGTCCTGTAAAAAAGAACGTTTTCACCGGTTTTTATGTGAGTGCAACCCATGTTTCAGTAGCCTGTAAAATGACCTTTAGTAGCAATAACTTAACATAACCATTTTCTGTATGACTTTATCAGTCTCTCAGACTGTTGTGAGGGAATTCTGGCTCCTTCTTTACAACATTGCTTCAGTTTCTTAAGTCTCTCTTAAGGTCCTGCCAAAGTATTTCAGTCAGGTTGAAGTCTGTACTGAGTCTGATTATCTTTACACTTGATATCATCCTTTCCAGTTTTTGAATAAACATTTAACCCTTTCATGTATGAATTATGACAACCTCAATCAGGATTTTTTTTTCTTAAGTATTTTTTTTTATCTATCTTGTTATCTGACAACATCACCTTTGGAGTGACACATCAGTGTCCAATGTTGTGGTTTATGTGCAAGTATACCATCACCACGGACACAAATACAAGAAAACAGACTTTGAATAGCTGTCCACTGTAGTCACCACTATGCATGAAAGGGTTAAAATAGTATTAATACATTTTATAAATGACATATAAAGCCATAGGTTTTGGCTAGGTTCCTGCATACATAGCAACAAATAAAATACAAGATGACCTCGCTGATCATCTAATGAATTTTATTAATGAGTTATGATAATGATATTGTACTATGAGCAGTAAGGCCAACAGAGCTATTTGGTTATACCTGAAGTTTGAAGGGAACCTTTTATCAACACTGCTACTGTGGAAATCTTTAAGATTCTGCCATTGTTAAGATTACACGGCTGAATGGAAGGATCCTTAGTATCATTTTTGTCTCCATTTCAATCTTTTAATACAAGATATACTCAACTGTACAAGTTATCTTTTGGATTAACTTTTCTGACTGTATTCTGTGACCATGGTGGGTAGATAACATGTTTCTATAAACAATTATCTCCTTATTATTGTTATTATTCCTGCTCAACAGCCTTGAAGACTGCTGTTGTGCTCTGTGAGGTTCTTTGACCCATTTCAATGTATTTCAGATTTAAATAAAAAAAAAAATTTTTTATTACAGCTTGGGTTTTAGTAATGAGTTCCAATAATGATAACTAAAGAAAGATGAGCATCCAGGACATTACAGTGGTTGTAAACAAACCCTGATGTTAGCTACTTGAAGTTTGAACTCTAAGACCTTTATCCATACTGTTGCTTCCTTTGTCTTTCAAATGAAGCGATAGACAGTCTATCCAAACATTTAGCTTGCTTACAGTCTGTATGATAGCTGCACTTTCTTCCCCAGTCAGTCTGGTCTTTCAGCAGTGTCACTGTGTTTAGTGATCACAGCAGTTGCTTAAGTGAGTGCACTGTTTTTATAAATAATAGAACCAATGTTGAAAGTAAATGGAAGACCCACTTTGTTTTATGATTATCTATAGCATATGACAATTATTTTATGGATCTTATGTATAGGACACCTTTTAACAACATCTTTTAAATAATAGTTTGTTACAGCTTAAGTTGTATTGATGAGTTATGATAATGGTATGATATTATACTAGAGAAACATGAGCGTCCAGGCCAAGACACAAAGTTATAAACAAACCCTGACGTTAGTTATAACTAAAGTTTGAACTGTAAGCCCTGCATCCACACTGCTGCTGTGATTTGTTTGTAACGGCAGATGGTGATATTGCACGATTTTCACATTTTGTTTGCAAACATCCAAATCGGGAATGTGTGACAATTTTCCATAAATTCTCCTTTCCTAAATAACCTGATAACCTGAAGTTCTTACCTCTTACATTAAGAGCTTTTTGGCCTGTTGTGAATTCACGGCAGCTGTCTTGTATCTCTGCTTACTAAATGCTACTTTGTCAATTCGAGTAAAGTCAAGCAACCAACCTGCCTACAATGTTTAGCATTAAATCACTTAGTGTTGGTGATTTTTAGGAAGCAGAAGTAAACATCTGTGACATGAATGACCAAAAATCTCACTGTCCCAGTGTTCTAGGTTTGTTGCCAATGACACAGAAGGGGAATAGTAGTGTTTTGTATTGGTTCCTCAGTCATATGGATAACACATGTGCAGTGTTTTCAAAGTTTCATAGTGAGTTTTCTTGGCAGTTAATGGGGCCAAATGTTTTCAATTGATACTCAACAGGAGAAAAGCACAGCCTGTGCCACCACAGACACGCAGGTCTAAACTTAGTGATGACGTAAAAAAGAAAGAATCCATGTGGTTTCACTTTTTATATGAAAACATTTGGGATGTTTTTATGAACTTCCTTCTTCAGCTGGAGCGTGTATGGGTTACTACTGCAATTTTATTCTTCTTGCTTACAGCCAACCTAGAATAGAATAGAATAGAATAGAATAGAATAGAATAGAATAGCACTTTATTATCATTGTAAATGTACAATGACATTATGGGTGTTTCACGCCAACTGTCCCGGAATAAAATATATAAACTATAAATAGACAGTGCTGTACACTGTTCACTGGTTTGTGACACAGACCCTGTTGTGTGTTACAGGAATTCAGGAGGGTACAGAGTGCACCAAGTGCAAAAATGACTGGGCATTAAGGGCAGCCATCGCACTCCTCTATGTGCTCTGTGCCCTGCTCACCATAGCGGTGGCTGTCCTCGGATACAAAGGTAAGCCGTAACTGAAGTTAAAATGCCTGCTTAAACAAATACTCTAATTTTCAGCTGGATTGCAACTTCTGACATCCACAACAACTTACCTGACAACACTGAACCCCCAATGTGTGCAAAACGGGTAGAAGTGGAATGGCAGATGATGACCTCAGTTCTTCCAGAGTGGCTCAGTTAGACCCTTTCTTACAAGCCAAGAAATATTGATGCTCTAAGCCAAATACATAGACTTTCCTTTAACTACAGATGATTGAACACGTATTTAATTAGGAAATTGTGTTCTTCACTACCCCTCCACAGACTGGCATAATAGATCACCCAATTATGTAAATGTAAAAAACATATTCTTGCCATTTCCCTATATTTACATGTGAATTAAGTTCCTGTCCTTTGTGCGCCATGGTGATATTACTTGTACAAGCCCCTGGACTGTCAAAAGGCATAGCAACTGGCCCTGTTGCCCTTGGATGTATAACCCTGTATTGTACTCCTGTAGGTGTGTTTGCTGGTTTAGTATGACGTGATTCCCAGAAAGTGAGAGAGAATCAGTATGAATGAAATTCTGTATAATTTTATTATGAAGTTCTTTCTCTTCACACAAACTTGGTTGTTTTTTTCCTTTTTTTGTCTAATAGATAGAACGATAACAAACAAAAAATACGGTACACAAAATCTTGCTAGAAAGTCCAGAAAGGATGATAAGGCCAACTTCAGAAAAGAGTTTGGACAGACAGAGAATTAAGATGTCTGACTTCGGCACAATTATAGTTTTTTTCCCCTTTGTTTACTCCTGACCTGCCCTCTGACTCCCATGGTCCCACAGCTTCTCTCTGCCTTCGTCTTTTTCTTTGACATTTGATAAAAAATTAAATGGTTGTATCACTAACAGTCAAGCCAGAGGCTTTGGCCTAAGATTAACCACTCTGTTGACAGAAACCGTTGTTTACTGTCCACCATATTTGACATCTTTAGCCACAGCTCTAAATGGGAAACAGATTGTGTGGCGCTGTCCTTACTGCACGCATGCTGCTGTTACTCCCTGTTTAAACAATGGAAATAATATTAAATAGAAACAGACAGGAATTCCACATATTTCAGGCGTTATCATCGGGGAATACTTTCTGTGCCTTACACATTTGTGGTCCAAAGCAGTCACAGAAAAATATGCCGAAAGTATCCTCGAGTGAAACACCGCTACAGTCCTACCTGCTCCACAGGCAACGGATGGCATATTTGCCTAATGGGGAAAGACTTAATCCAAACTACTCCACAAGTTTAGATTCAAATCAGAATTAGGTGCTGTCAGGTTTGTTTTAGGCTTCCAGCTTTGCGTCTGTGTTAGCGTCGAGCCCAAGTAAGTTTGATGTCTTGGCTCTAATGTCTACCAGATGACTGTGCAGCGACTACCCAGGCTTCACAGCCCAAAGCAGATTTTATGGCTTGGTTGCAATTTGTTATCTCGTGAACTACAGACTAACTCACAAATTGCTGTGAGTGTCCAAAATACTTTGAGTGTGCAAGAAACCAATCTGAGCTCTGCATTCTATGACTTTCTTTCTGAGCACTTTGTTATAGATATGCTGCTATTCTTCAAGTTAATGCTTTAATTCCTGTTAAAGAATCGTTTATTTAAATGTCTGCTCCAGCAGCTTTCATCAGTGTTAATCTCAGTTTGGGTAACTGCCTAGCTTTTGCTCATAACTTGTCCCAATAGGCAGCCAGACTTACTAAAAGACTTACTTAAATTAGCAGCCTTATATAACTCGCAGTGCCTTTCCAATATAAGGATGTGAAAAGGATGGAAAGATTAACAGGGGTGAATGAGAAGGTATGTTCAAGATCAGTGGGGAGTTTTGCAGGTGTTTCTAGTTTATTCTAGATTTTTGTCACTGTTATCAATGGAATAAATTTATAGTGTTTCTGATTCACCCAAAAGAAAAGCATGTGACCATTTCAGAGAAACCAAGACAGATTTAAAGGAGATTACTTCAGTTCTCAGCAGTTACCCAACAGCTCTTTGAAGCTGTTTTTGTTTGTCCCAAGTGCATGTTATTGTTTCATGTTTTTGTCACTCCTGGAATGATAACAGTGAACGCTTAGGGTGTTTTCCAGTTCAGTATTTAGACGCCCACATACTGAGAGAAAAACAAAGCATGGAAGAGAGGAGACTCTTCCTGCAGATGTAAGGAGGGAGAAAATGGAACCAGAGTCGTAAAGCGCTGGCGTGGTATTGATTATGTGTTTGACATTATTTACACTGATGAAGTGGAATTTGTGAGTGTTCACTGAGGATGGAGATCAACGGATACACAGTTGCCCGGTTACAAAAATGTTAGGAAAGTTTTTCACTCCATTCAATCCCATGTTCCCATCAGTGGTGTTTAACTTTTCCAGTTTTTCAGTATGAGTGTAACAATGCCCTCTGCTGTTAAGAAGCCCTTCTGCAGAATATACTATATCTATCTTCAACTTTAAGACAGTCTCTTTCATTTTTTCTTAGTGGTTGAGAAAATGGACAACATGACAGAGGGCATGCAGAATTATGGAGGCAAGATCAATACTGTGGAGACAGACTTAAAGAAACTAGGTAAGTCCCAGCAACACAAGATTATATCATAGATGCAGAAAGCTGCAGAGATTTCAGTGACGTGTACAAGAAAGTAGGTTTTGGCTTTGACACTATACTATATTTGTATGTCCTATTAACAGTGTGTGACTGTTTTTCAGATGATCAGGCTGGAGTGATGTCAGTTAATGCCACTAGTGAGATGAAGACTTTCAAGTCAGATCTGGAAGCGTTACAGAATCAACTACAGCGCATTGCAGACAGGGCAACAAGTAACAGCGACAGGCTGGATGAACTTAGGATAACAGGAGGCGATACGGAAAGTGGACATGTCTCACTGCAGCGTTTTATGGAAAACAATGATGCTTCACTGCGTGGCATCAAGCAGACCTTGACCTCTTACAGTGGAATGATTGACAGCCTTGAGGCGGACACTGCACGGCTCCAGTCTGAGATACAGAGCCAGGTCAAAGTACAGAGCCAGACTCAGGTTGATGTCAGTGCGCTGAACATCACGCAGGCCCAGCAGCGCAATCTCCTCAGCACACTACAGAAGACAATTGAAAATGCAGGACAGGAAGTTCAGAAACTGAAAAATGACTATCAGATTCTGCAGCAAACAGCCAGACAAACACGGGCTGACACAGAGTGGCTGAAGGAAAAAGTTCAGAACCTTCAGGTTTTGGCAGCCAACAACTCCGCCTTGGCCAGAAACAATGAAGAAGCTCTAAATGACTTGGGAGCTCAGCTCAGCACTTTAGCCAGCCAAATCCAGAATACCTCAGCTCTCACAGAGGGACATGACCAGAGCTTGCATGAGATGATGGACCACCAGAGAGACCATGATAATGCCACCTCGTTTAAGTTTGACAAAATGGAAGCACGATTAGACAGACATGAGAATGACATGAACCGCGTGACTGGAAACGTTAGCTTTGCCGCACAGATTCTTGGTGTCATCAGTTCCGAGCTGAATGGCCTGAGGTCCTGTGCTGAGACAGTAATGCAGCACTCTGACCTGTTAGTGGGACTGAATGGAAGTGTGACACAGGCCAACGCAGACAACAGAGAGCTGCGCGCCCAGCAGGATGAACTAACAGCCAGGTTGGACAGAGAAGTCAACAACTTGTCCATGGTGATGGAGGAGATGAAGCTAGTGGACAGCAAGCACACACAGCTTATCACCAACTTTACCATCCTACAAGGTGAGGAATACCTGGTGTGCCTGATTCAGAGCTTTTCATCTTCATATGTAAATAAAGCACCTTTTCCAATTATTTGTGAAAATTATGACAAGTATATTTAATTATTCTAGGTATGGAACTAGTACATTTTTAATTAATATAGAAAAGTATAAGAATATATAGATAGATTTCTTCCACTTCCATTTTGTTAAATAAATAAGTACAACAGTTTTCAGTTTCTTGGGGTAAGTTACATCATCTACAACCTTCTGGTCTTAAGAAGAATCATATTTATGAATTATTTGTGACTTCTGACAGTGACTAGGATTGTACCTCTTCTGGTTTGTAGTATGCATTTGTACCAGCAAGATGAAAAGAAATATAAGATTACAAGAAATCATTTGTGTGACATTTTGTGTGACAGTGCATGTAAACATTAATTGTTACACATTGTTCTATCAGTTATAGTTCACTTATCTGCTCGTATTTCAGGCCCACCAGGTCCAAGAGGGCCCAGAGGTGATAGGGGTCCTCAGGGGCCAATGGGCCAAACGGGACAAAAGGGTGATAAAGGAGACAAAGGAATGCCAGGATTGGTCGGACCTAAAGGAGAGCAAGGTGCAGCCGGACCACCAGGCGCAGCAGGTCCAAAAGGTTCAGTTGGGGCTCGAGGTCTTGTAGGACCTAAAGGATCAAGAGGGTCTAGTGGTCGACCTGGAAACCCTGGTGAGAAAGGTGACCCTGGGGTTCCAGGGCCTCCTGGGAGGGATGGACCTTCCGGAATGCCAGGACCGCTCGGGCCACAAGGGCCCAGAGGAGCAGCAGGACCTTCAGGTATGGAAGGACCCCGTGGACCTGTTGGACCCATGGGCCCTCCAGGTCCTCCCGGTCTCCCAGGACTTCCTGGAACTCCCATATTTGTAAAGCCACCTCAGCCCACTCAGCCCCGTCCGGTCCCTCAACCATCTCAACCTTCTAAACAAGTACAGGAACCACAGGGCTCTGTGTCGGTCCAGCCTCCTGTTGCCACAAGTCCAAAGCCTGGTGAGTTTTGTCCTGTCTCACTCCCATCAAACCCAACCGCTCATGGCAGATGGCTGCCCCTCTCTGAGCCTGCTTCTGCTCGAGGTTTCTTCCTATTAGAAGGGTGTTTTTCCTTCCCTCTGTCACCAAGTGCTTATTGATGGAGGTTGTCTAGTTGTTGTGGTTTTCTCTGTATTAGGGTTTGTAGGGCCTTTATCTTAAAATATAAAGTGCCTTAAGGTGACTGTTGTTGTGATTTAGTGCTAAATAAATAAAATAAAATAGAATCGTGCACGGTGGCACGGTGGTTAGCACTGTTGCCTCACAGCAAGAAGGTCCTGAGTTCATTCCAGCCTGAGGATCCCTCCAGCCTTTCTGTGTGGAGTTTGCATGTTCTCCCCGTGTTTGCGTGGGTTCTCCCCGGGTACTCCGGCTTCTTCCCCCAGTCCAAAGACATGCACTTTGTGGGGATAGGTTAATTAAAAAATCTAAATTGCCTCAGGGCAATTTAGATTTTTTGGTGTGAATGTGAGTACGAATGGTTGTCTGTCCCTGTGTGTTAGCCCTGCGACAGACTGGCGACCTGTTCAGGGTGTACCCCGCCTCTCGCCCTATGGTAGCTGGGACAGGCTCCAGCACCCACCGAGACCCTGAAAAGGATAAGCGGAAGCGAATGGATGGATGGATAGAATCAAGTGATTAGATAAATTAGACCAGGAAATTTTTGTAAATGTTGATACCTTGTACCATCTAAACAGCATCTCTAGTAATTTTGTTTTCTTGGATAACATGTATGTGGTAATTCATTCTTCCAGGTTGTCCACGTGAATTCAGAAACTTTGGAGACAGCTGCTATTACTTTTCTTCTGGTTCACAGAGGCTCAACTTTGATGAGGCCAACCGGTTTTGTACTAATCGTTCAGCTCATATGCTCATTATCAATAACAATGAAGAACAGGTAAATTAAATTAGATCCATATATTCCATATAAAGCTATTGCTAATTTTAAACAATTGCACAAATTAACATAAAACATTATTATAAACATTTTTTTCTTGTTACGTCTTCTTTTCTATTCTACCTCTAGCAATTTGTAAAAAAAGCCATCACAGGAAAAGGATATTTCTGGCTTGGACTGAGTGACAGAGAGGAGGAAAATGTCTGGAAGTGGGTAGATGGAACCATACCAGTTTTCACGTGAGTTGCAAATTTGTGTATGTATTTTAACTGTACAGAACAATTTTAACAAAGTGTAACCAAGTGTCTTTGTGGTTGTTTTTAGGAAGTGGAAGCCTGGCCAACCTGATAACTGGAAGCATGGTCACGAAGACGGCGAGGACTGTGCTGGCCTTATCCATGAGGCCAACTGGAATGACTTTTACTGCACCGACCGCATTGGTTTCATCTGTGAACATGCCTTTGACAGTTAGTACCTTCTTCATATTGGACTTTTAAATTTCCTATTTGTGTGTATTTCCATAGTTGCTTAATTTGTGTTTTTGGAAACAAAGCCCATATGACGACCAAGTTTGTTTATTCAACTCCAAATGTATATTTTTAAAATGTGTCACAAATGTGTAATGTCTTAAAAAATTACTCAAATAGTCTTTTGTAGACTTATTCAGTTTTGTTTATCTAAACAGATCCAGTAATTATGATCCCCTGTTCAAATTGGACTGATTCAAGACCACCTTGATATATTTTATTAAGTTTTTCAAAAGAAAAATAAACAGTCTAGTTTATTTTATAGTTATATAGATATACACACAGAGACAAATACACACACAAAGAAAGAATTTAATCTATTTTGAAATTTTGTAATAAGGCTGTAACAAAATGTGGAACAAGTAAAGCACTGTGAATACTGCACTGTAACAGTGAACATCCCCTGCTAAGTGGAGCTTAGTCATCATTAATAGCTGTTCTTTCATACAATAACACCTCAAAATGTCACTGTGAGAGCTATAACTGTAAATGCAACATCTTGGGCGCACACACAGAGATGCAGATACAAAATGTGTTGTATTTTTTTTGTTCTCTTCACAGTGAAAGTTCCAGTTTTATAGCATCCATCTAAGAAGTAGTGATCAGTCTCCTTTCAGGAGAAAGGTGAAGAGGTTGAAGACGTCACTATAACAAGGGCCATGCGGAGGAGCGCTACGTGACTAGAGGACTCTGATAAAGCCAGCCCAGTGGAGCATCACTGACACTTGGACTTTTATTTGTCTTTAAAGGCACTTTACAACATAGTACCGTGCAAAAGGCAGAGCAAACACAGAGCCATTCCACTGTTGTATTAATTTAGATTTTGTACTGAAAAAATATGAGTATCTTCATTTATTTAGGCTGATGCAGCCACAGTTGTACATGTGTATCTGTAAATAATATTTTACAAATGACAATTAGTTGGTTGGAACTGAATTTGATATTGTTTAATTTGTTCAGTTACTCAGTCTTTACACATTCAAACTGTCAGAGTATACTTCAAGTAGAAATCTTTGTATCCGATAAAATACTCCACAGAATCATAGAATCATCATTTGTTTACAAGCAAGTTCCCACAAACATGGTGAGCAACCACTTGTAATCATTACCCAATAAATACCTGTAACCTAACAAAAAGAAAGAAAAGTAGAGTAAATTTTCTCAGTGCTTTTTTTGGAGGATGGGGGAGAATTGATTGCTGATGTGAGCAGTGTTGCTGCTTTACAAAGGACTGTATTTCTTGGACTTTGACCTGCCAGTATTATCTTAATCTGATATATACATGATCCGTATGCACATGGTTTGTAATGTATCCATTATCAGATGATTTCTTCATTATGCCAAATGCAATATGTGAAACATTATAATTTTTATAATCATTTTTTTGTTGTTGATCTTATGGACTGAATAGCAATGTTTAATCCAGTTTAAGGTTGATCTGTGAGTTCATTCAATCACCACATTCCGATGGATCAGGTCAGAATGCTTAACACAATAAAATGGGGAAAGAATTTGTGTGGAATCACTGACTGTTGTCCATAAAATATTTCAGTAAATGCGTGCAGATTGGTTAGCATGAAATGGCAAGTGTTTACACATAAAAACTGAAGGAAAATAGAAACTTTAAATTTCAAATATTACTGCTAATCTGCTATTTATGTATTATTTGCATTTTTATTTTGTCTTCAATAAAACTAGTGTATAACAGTATAGCATCAGTACTTTGAGAAAAAGTAGCAAAATATTACAAAAAAATCTGAACTTCAGCTAAACTTACATATTTAACACACTCTAGACAGAGTGTGTGAACATCTGCCTAAACCTACATACCATTGTATTAATAATATAATAATAACATGCTAATATTATAAATTGACAATTACAACACCATGACTAAATAATGGATTTATATAATGTAATATTCATTCTTTCGAAAGATAGATAATTTCAGATTTACTAAAGTATATTTGTATGTTTTGGGCTTTGTTTGTTTGTTTGTTTGTTTGTTTTTTGACATGTATGCTTTGTCTAAAAAGTGAAAAATGCATAAAATAATAAATGCGGACAATAATACCCTTTTTAAGATGATATACTTGTTCTAAGCACTAACAAAATTCTTAAAATGTATAATTTTTTTCAAAATTATACTTGAATTATATATATGCTAATATTGGTGCCAATTTTATTTATATATATGCACATATATACACTTTTAATTAAACTCAGTGTGCTTTCCATACATTATAAAAACATTTTTAAACTGTATCTCGGTAATGTCCTAAAGCAATTAAAACAACTAAACAGAACTTTAACATAGACCCAGTTGTGTCTTGACTTTAGGCAGCTTGGTCCAAAGGACAAGACAACAGTGAGGCAAAGCACCCTCAGCGCATTTAGGTCCAACTCAGGGAATAGTTAAAAGATTTGCACTTCTCTAGAGAGGTCCACTTGGTCTTACTGAGCAAGTCAGAGATGTACTTGAAGAGCAAGCCACTGAGAGTTGTATGAACTAACAGAGATTTTAAACGTAATCCTGGGTGGAACCAAGACCCAGTGAAGACTTCAATATTGGGGTAATTTGATAAAGTTTCTGTTTCTGTGTAGGGATTCTGGATGCCGCTGCTTTAAACTGGTAATATATCCAGTAATATAACTGGATAAATATATCCAATATTTCTTTCTTGTCTCTGTTCAATTTTAAAAGGTTTGTAGACATCCAGCAGTTAATGTCATCTGTGCTAGAATTACATATTGGTTAATGTAGTTTCGTTTAGACCACTGTTAATTACTTAAATTATAAATTACCCATTTATTGCTTCACTTACGCCACACAAATCCTCTAACTACAAGATTAAAGTCTTTATGTGTTACTCATTTTCACGCGCTGCAGCCTCACATTCACATTTTGTCACGTGATCGACATCACCTGACGATGACATGTTATTTTTTTCTATGCCAAGGACAATTTGTGACTTATGATTCATTCTCTCTAGTTTGCAGACAGCACACAGGGATGAGCAGTAGTCTGACAGGGAGTGTTAAACTGTAGAGGTTTATAACCGTTTATTAAATACAGTTAGGGCTCCTTCGATTACCCAGAATGCCCTGCTTGTTGCCGTCTGGCGAAGGAGTGACTGTGTAGAAAAGAATCAGTTAGCTACCTTTGATACCCATTAGGTTGTCGTTACTATGCATTTGTATTGTATCAAATAAGAAAAAAGAGGGAAAGAAAATATCTGGGAAAGGCGAAATCTGTTGTCGTCTATACACCAAGCGATGCCTCTCTTCACGACCAACCCCTTTGACCAAGATGTTGGTGAGTAATCACAACTGGAGGCTGTTATTAGCAGGCTAGCTAAGTAGCTGTGACCAAACAGCTTTGTTTGTGTTCTCCAGCAATGGGCAACATTTCACTTAGCCACTGGATTTATATTATTGTTATATGGGTAACGTTTGGTACATACTGTAGGTTGTGTAAACTGACAACCCATGAACCCACTGAAGCCCATGATATTAATTTTGATGTCTGTTTTGCTTGTTTTTGAGGAGCATAGATGGCTAGCTTGCTCCCCTATCCTATGTGTATATTTAGCTAGCAAACAGCAAGTGACCGTTTGGCGATAGCATCCTAAACTGGTGATGTTATTCTCGAGATGTATTACGTGTACTATTTAAGTCAGGCCAACTCTTAATGAAGGCGGAGACACAGGCTTGTCATCGGATCACTGAATTGAGTTAGCAAGCCATATCACTGGCTACCTTTATGTATCCCATCTTCTGTTAGCTAACCACAATTATGTGCTTGACCTCTCACAGTGAGTGGAAGTGAAAGAGGATGCGGAGCTATGTGAAACCACAGAGTATCGCTGTATTTCCTGTCGTCTCTTTGATCTTTGTCGAGTGGTTAGCCACCTAATTTTCATGTAGAGTGTGTAGTTTTCATATAGATGAAAAATGCACAACACCGTTCACTTGCACAGCCCCATACACAGCCTCAAGCCCAAACCCAGCAGTAAATGCTGATTTGGTAAAACAAACCAGCCTTTAAGTGATCGTGCTCTTCTGTTCCTGGCTTTTACTACTGTTGTGAGCATCTGTTACTTCACTATACTGTTTTGTATGACATGACAGCAGCCAAAGTGATTTAGAGGCTTGAAACCCACATAGTCAACATAATGAAAAATAATAAGTGGAAAAAAACGTCAGAAATAAGAATAAAAAACATTACTAGTCAACTAAAACGGGTGGAAAAAAGACATTTGCAGTGAGTGTGATCAAACCATGAGGGACCTCAGACTTAATTAAAGCAAGTGTAAATAAATCATTAGAGCTGATTTAAAATCATCAGCTGTTGATCAGGTTGTTATTTGGGGAAGCAGATTATTCCAGAGCCAGGGGGCCATAACCACATTTGCCTGGTTGTCTTTAGCTTTTAGTTGAGTAAGGGGCACTGAGAGAAGTTGTTGGGATAATGAGTTGGTGACCTGCAGACAAAAAAAATATCTGTTATGGAACTCATTTATTTGAAACTTCACAGATAGCCAATGCAGTTCAACTAAAACAGGAGCAATGAGCTATCTTTTTTTTGTACAAGAGTCAATCAGCTGCGTTTTGAACCAACTGGAAAGCGTGGAAATGGGCAATTCTATATACAGAGAATTGCATTAGACCAGGTGAGATTTGGCTCTAGCAGTGGTTTCACTTGGTAAAAGCTCTCCTTCCATTCCTTTGATTGCTAAAATTCACGGAATGTCTCATAAAAACACAAAGATTGAATGGTTAAAGGACTAACTGCCTCACTGAGGAGGGTTGTGTAGCTCGGGGGGTCTGAATAAAATAACTTCAGTTTTTCTTAGTTTCTTTCTTTAGTTTAAGGGTTTGTTTTTGTTTTTTTACATCTGTGATTCCAGATCTTCCAAACATTCAAAGAGGTTCTTTATGGTTTGAACACAGTCAGGTGTGGCAGGTAGATAAAACTGGGTGCCACATAACAAGGATAATGAATTTTGGCTTTCTGTCCATCTCTAATACTTCCAATCTTGTTTGGGGTATATAGAAATATTTTTCTAATGCTTCTTTTGTCAAGAGCAAAAGAAGCAAAAAAACCTTTTTAATGTACTTATTACTTCCCAATTATTACTTCTACTTCCCAACAACAGCAACTGATGACTCATGTTAGAAAGCAATGTCAGCTATTTACACATCTTATTTCCATTCCTATGTTTATACTTGGAATACACTTAGCTCTGTAATAGACTGGGAACCTGTCCAGGGCTAACTTAGACTCTTGCTCTATGACAGCTGGGATAGACTCCAGCCCAACTGCAACCCTGAAATATCAGCGCTGTTGATTGCTGTGGGCAAATAAAGGGATGGTATGTGATGCCACTGGCTGATGTTTATTATTGGCTAAATATTATTGGCACAACATTCAAGAAGATGTTAAAATGTTGTCAGACAAAGCATTTTAACATCTGTTTAATCTAAATCTAAAATGTTCTTGTTAAACACCTTATCTGCTCAAAATTGCACAAGTGGTACTTGGTAAAACATGAAGCTGCTTCCAAGACCAGAGGAGTCAAATACAGTACACACAGAGTACCGGTAGATTCAAGACTAACCATTTCATTTGGAAGAAAAAACCCAATTCTTAAGTGGCAAATAGAACCCACTGCTGATTGAAATGCACTGATACTTAGATAAACTTCAGGTAAAGTCTTCGCAGATCATGAGCTGTTAGATTGTGTTCACTGTAGTGCGGTAGTGTTGATGGGGTGCTTCTCATATATTGTCAGCCCTTTGTACCCCATCATTTTTATGCTTATGTGTAGAGGAACATAGTAATCTTGTTGTTTTGATTTCTCAGTACCAAACATGATCATGAAAAGAGGATTCTCACGGACCGTTTACAACAGTGATTCTTTTATTTTTTTGTAGGATTACAGTAGCTTTATTACTCCTCTACAGAATTCCCATGTCTCTTCTTTCCCATCTCTAAATACAGTCATGCAGAAAAAATATGCTTTCGCTGTAAAGACTTCTTCTCATGCCAGTTGGTGTTCTTCTTTCCTGCAGAGAAAGCAACCAGTGAGATGAACACTGCTGAGGACTGGGGCCTCATTCTGGACATATGTGACAAGATAGGGCAGTCACGCACTGGGTCAGTTAACTTTCCTCATTCTGAGGCATACCAACACATTTCTTTTATATTTGAGTTTTGGATCATTAGAATATATATTCAAGGAAGTCTAAAGAAGTTTAAAAGAAGAGTTTAATATAGCTTAACCCTCTCAAACCTTTGAGTTGTGCTGTTCTGTTCCAGGCCCAAAGAATGCCTCCGCTCTATAATGAGAAGAGTGAACCACAAGGACCCTCACGTAGCCATGCAGGCACTGACTGTAAGCAGACTCGTAACAAACAGCCATGTTTTGTTTATGTTTGATAACTTATTTCTTAAATGACACTAAGCTATAAGCTTATAAAGTAACCACATTTACTCTTTTATAAGTGATAAATTACGTATGTCAGAAGTATTTCAGCTGTTTACTTACTTCATGAGGTACATGAATAGGATGTACACTTTGTCTTCGCAGCTTCTCGGTGCCTGTGTCTCAAACTGTGGGAAAATTTTCCACTTGGAGGTGTGCTCCAGAGAGTTTGCCAGTGAAGTCAGTAATGTCTTAAACAAGGTGTGTGGTAAATTTCACTTTCTTGTGTGTTGTCCAAATAAGCCACATTAACTATGTGGGATTTCTTCAAAAAGGTTCACTTTTGATCCGTGTTGGCATAAAATGCTTTAATGTGTGTTCTCCAGGGCCACCCCAAAGTCTGCGAGAAGCTGAAGGCCCTGATGGTGGAGTGGGCGGAAGACTTCCGCAATGATCCGCAGCTCAGTCTGATCTCAGCAATGATCAAGAATTTACGGGAACAGGGTGTCACGTTCCCTGCTGTGGGCTCCCAGGTTGGTATATGAGTACGGTGGTTTATACCCCACCCCCACAATTGCAGTGAATACATACCTGACGTAAGTTGGAAAATGTTTACTGTTCAGAATAAACGCTAATATTAATGTGAGAAAAACAAACAAACTAGGAGACAGTATAGCGACTGCTGTTTAATGGTTTACTATCGCATTTCACTCATTCGCTAACAAAACTGAAATGATGTTCGCTCAACAAGCATCATCGTTACCTTACGACAGGTAAGCTAACATAAACATTACTGTAAAAACATTAATATAAACAAGGTATCAAAGCGACACACTAACTTAACTCTCTAAAACTGACCCACTCAGAGTTGACGTCACAGCTCCAGATTGCTGACGTTTTACATTCTGGTGCACTGCAGTCGTGCTGCTGTGGAAGGAAAAGCTCCGCTTTGACAGTCTGCATTCAACTTTGTTTTCTGGGAAGTCCTTTAAAATTCCATGTCGACTTGTTTTTATAGTCTATGTCATCAATTATGCCAACGAATCGTTGCAGCGCTAGTGGTTAAGATCAGAATTTTAAGTTCTGGCTCATTCTATTTGTAATGCTAGTATCTCTCTTGGTTTGCTCAAAATCCATCCACGTTCTTTTATTCTTTTGATTCATGAGTGTAAGTCATTATTTATGTGAAGCACATGATTATTGTCTTCACAGGCTGCTGAGCAAGCAAAAGCAAGCCCAGCTTTAGTGGCAAAGGATCCCTCCACATCAACAAACAAAAAAGAAGAGGAGGATTTGGCCAAAGGTAAAGAGGACTCTATCAGATAATCAGAGCACCGGACCATTTTTTATTTTGTTTTTGTAAAGGATTCTTGTGTAAAGACTCGTTTTAGTATTCAGACACACATAGAAATGCATTAGAAGCATGTTCATTAAACACATTTTAACTGTTGTTTATTGGCTTTGCAAAACTCCCCCTGTTATTGTGGATTAATGAATTGCAGATGTTCCACAAGGTTTTCAAGGGCAAACACACAATCACACTCTTGTGATTATCTTATTATCTCTCTTGTGTGCAGCTATCGAGTTGTCTCTGAAGGAGCAGCGTCAGCAACCGCAGACCTCAATGTCGAGTCTTTACCCAAACACCTCCACCCTGCTCTCCTCACACAAGTCTGACGGCAGAAAAGTCCGTGCCATCTACGATTTTGAGGCTGCAGAGGACAATGAGCTCACCTTTAAGTCGGGAGAAATCATCACTATCCTGGACGATAGGTGAACTTTTACACACATATAATCAAGAGCACACAACAAACCGGGACTTTCAGTATATAATAGTGAGCAGATTTCCTGGGCCTATGTTGTGTTCTTATTTGGATGGCTGTTCTCTTTGAAGCCTTTTTGAAATGCTCTTTAGAAAAGCACAGAATCCATGAACTCAAAAGAAAAATACGTTTTAAACATCACATCTATGTATTCATGCTTTAAAGAGGTCTGGAAATGACTTTGTAAAATGCCAATGAAATTATTAAGGATTACATTCAGTTACTAAAGGCAACATTTTTCTTATAATTGAATGGGCTTTTTGTTTTCTTTCTCCCAGTGACCCAAACTGGTGGAAAGGGGAAACATATCAGGGGGTGGGGCTGTTTCCCTCCAACTTTGTCACTGCTGATCTCACTGCAGAGCCTGAGATGAGTGAGTACACACACTTGAATCATTGCTGTTTCTTTGGTAGCCCATTTAGTCCATTAGCAACATTGCTTTATAGATCTGGGAGTGTGATATCCAAAGAGCAGAGTGCAGTAAGAGACACAAAATAGGTACTGAAAAAATAACACTGCCTAAATTTCTGGGAAGGAGTTCAAGCAGTGTGTGATCAGCACTTTCTCCTGCTGATACTCTTTTCTTATGTACCAAATCTTGTTCTGGTATAATTACAGAGCCCTCTGAAATGCAACATTCATATTCATATGTTGGTATCTTGATGCTCTGCTCTATCTAATTCATTGTTACCACAGAAATGTGTAGTGTTAAAAAGGAGTTTTCTGGCTTTTTCATCACATCCACTTTTTGTTGATTAAGATAACCTTTGTTGTTATTGCTTGCTAATTGTATGGCTTTGTCATATTGTTGATTCTGTGGGTTTGCATACTGGGTATGTACATCATGCTGTTGCACTTCTACTGCCTTCATGCTGTGTGCCACCGTTTCTTGTAATTCAAGTTAAAGAAAAACTTTTATCTAACTTCTATTTTTATCTGATATCTGTTCCTGTGCTGCATGCTTCTATCAGAGCATTACAGGTGATCAAGTTAGTTTGTCCTTATCTCTTACGTTTGCGTTGCTGACCACTGCCACTGTTGTGTTGTTTTTCCTCCTGCTGCATCTGCGGCTGCTTGAAAACCCACAGTGAAGACGGAGAAAAAGACAGTACAGTTCAGTGAGGACATTCAGGTAGAGACCATAGAGCCCGAACAGGAGCCAGTGTACATAGACGAGGTAAGTGCTCTGCTGTGTGCGCTTTCTTACTCAGATCATTCAGATTTATTAAGGTCACAAGTTGCTACAGTAAATAAAAAAATCTCTTCCAGTATAAGATAAAAAACTTTATTACTTCGGGATTAAGTTGTGAAATGATCTCACATCTATCCGATACTTATCACATCTTCTCAGGACAAAATGGACCAGTTACTGCAAATGATTCAAAGTGCGGATCCAACAGACAACCAGTCTGACAGTGTTGAATTATTACAACTTGAAGGTAATTTTCATTCATTTATTTATTAATTTCTTATGCAAAATATGAATATATGAAAGTGAAAGAAAAATATTTACTAACATTGTACACATGCTGCATTTTGGAAAAGGTGGATTTCTGTCAGCCAAAGAAAGAGATTTAAACAATTTTTTCATCAGGTGCCTGCAATCAAATGGGGCCCCTCATTGATCAGAAGTTGGAGGATATTGACAGGTACATTGTGTTGATGTGGCGCGCTTTATTCATAGAAATTCCGAACATTGTAAGCTCAGCAGAAGCGAATAACACGCAGAAGGTGTTTGACAAGATATGGATTGCTGATTGTTTGTATTACCAGGAAGCACTCGGAGCTGTCAGAACTGAACGTGAAGGTGATGGAAGCGCTGTCTTTATATGCCAAGCTGATGAATGAAGATCCCGTCTATGCCATGTATGCCAAGCTGCAGAGCCAACAGTATTACATGCAGCAGCCTGCCAGCGCCGCACAACAGGTGAAGTCAATACAAACTTCTTCTTTTTTTTAAATTTGAGAAGCAGCTACATTCTGAAAGGGAAGTACCAACACTGGGAAGTCTAAGACACTTGGAAAGAAAAGATAGATTACCATGAACCTGAATGATTGAGAATCTACACAGACAACATTAGGAGCTGTTGTCATTCTTTCAAGGACTTTAAAGCTGATTGAATATTAATATTTCCTTTGTGTTTATATTTGTCACCACAGGTCTACCCTGGTCAGCCTGCATCAGGTTCATATGGCATGAACAGTGCTGGGGTGCAAGGCTATACCGTTCCTATGGAGCAACTTCCTCCTGGAACTCCCATTCCTGGTCAACCAGCTCCCAGGTGAGTTTGAGGTTACCCACGGTCCTGCTACAGCACACAGTACAAATACTAAGATTATTGGTATCAGTTTCCGCTGTTGTTCTCCTCTCTTTTATGTGAGATGAAAAATGGCAAATACATTTAAATGCTTAATTACATTCACGCTTCACTTATTCTTTAAGTTATTTTTACATATGGTAAATTTTCCGCTGGTATCAGAGGCTGTTACTCAGCTGCAGAACCAGGCTTTCACTTGTTCCAGCGTTATAGACAAAGCCTTCTTAAATACCTGAACAACTTCTGCTTTTTCCTCATTGAAATTGAATCTTGGTTTCCACATTTTAAATCAAAGTATTTGCTGTACTTGGAATTGAAAGCAATAATTTCTCACCATTGAGCAATTCCTTACACACCACAACAGTTCTGTTCTTAAACAGACAGAGGTCTTACTAGTGTTAATATCTCCCTCTTGCTGTAGTATAATATTCACTTTTTCCCCATCATTCTTTTCACAGTGACGTTCATATGTACATGGGCCAGCCGCCAGTGTACACTGCAGCTCCAGGCGGCATGGCACCAGCAGATGTTCAGTCCTACCAGAATCCAGCCAGCAACCCTGGCCCAGCACCATGCACAACTCCCGCAGGCATGACGCAGACCGCAAACTACAGCGCTGCCTCTGGCGTGAGCATAGCACCCTCCACAGATGTCCCACAGGCCCCCTTCTCAGAGAAAGCATTGTTATAGGGCCACAGGAGCTCACTGATATCCTCACAGGCACATATGCACTCTTACATACAGACACACACACACACTCACAAAAAAACAGACCTGATCAAATAGTTATAGTTGAAAATGTGTTTTTATTGCATAAGTTGACACCAGATCAATTAAAACACAATTTAAACAGAGTAAACTAACATTGGCACGTTTTCTGTTGTATTCAGCCGATATACAGTCAAAGCTGCAGTGCAGAACTTTAATTTCCTCCCTCTGGCAGTCAGAGTAATTAAACAAAAATATTATTTGATTTTCACTGGAAAGCGTTAACCTGTTATTTGAAGATTCATGCTGCTGTCAAATGACTGCGCGTATGTCTAGCAGACGTTTGACATACTACTTTTATATGGCGGAGTTTACACTGGACTTCCATTTTTTTTTTTTTTTTTGAAGGAGTTGGAGAGTGTTCATTGTTGTTGGCTTTCCGTGTTTCTCTTGTTTATACAAGCATCAAATCTCACAATACCAAACGCTCTACAAGCCTGATGCCAACTAGATACGAGTCTTTATTCTTCTGTTTTTGTTTGCTTTTGTTGGTTATGTAATTTTTGGCTTGCAAACAGTTTCTAGGTGCAGTCCCATCATCTTCTCGTGGTAGTAGACACTACATCCTACCAGGTGCTAGTAAAATAAAGGAACAATGTATTTCAGGAAAAGAAATAGTTGAATAAACTTTCTTTTCTTTTTAAACAACTATTCAGATAGCCAGAAAGATCGCATCTTTCTTTTTTAGATCTTAGTCTCTCATCTGACTGGTGAACTTTTCTTTTTTTCATCCAGAGTATTCAAAGAAATTAGAAGCGTAAATCTACTAAGGATTCAGTTTCTATCTGCCATACGTCTAGCCCAACTCCAGCTCCCAAAGTTTAGCTCTGGCTATTTCGCCACACATCTCACATTTCAAACTTCAATAAACTGCAAAGTTTAGAGAGTTTTATCAGGTGCTAATAGCCTTGACTATAGCAGACGTTCATTTTTATGCAAAGGTCCCACACTCCAGCTTTAAATACACAGTTCTGCTTCTCTTACCAGTAAGGAAGTGATCATGGGGATTTTTTTTAAAGAGCTCACACTACACTGAGTCACAAAGTGGGCACTGTTGTTTTTTTTATTTTTATTAGTATTATTATTTTTTCCCACATTTTCACAGATGTCCTGTCTTTAGCATAAAAGTATGGAGCAGCTTTCAGTTTCCATCTCTCAAGCCAGATCACTTCAAATCTAGATTTGATAGCAATACATACATTCTAATTTTTTCTTGTCACGTGCAAAACCATTATGGCATTAATTGCTTTGTATTTATTTCAGACTATTGAACAATTATGGCAACACTGGATTACAAAACATTTTTTTCCAATTATTTCCTAGAAGAAAAACTAAAAATTTGGTGCTAAGAAGTTGTTTTTAGGTCATATGGAGTTAAATTTGCATGCAGAAAAGGGTTGTTTTTCAGCAAAGCAAATATTAGATTCTCTCTTCCAATATTTAATGCTGAAGCTCGACTTCAGCATATGCCATTATTTTTGTTTTTTTCCCCCTGTATTATTAAATTTAATAGTTCTCACACAACAACTTAAAAATAAGAAGAAGAAATGTCAGTTTCCCACTTCTAGCTAGCTATTTAAAAAAATGCAATTACTATTTGATCAAGTGTGAAATATATGCACACACACACAAACACACAGCTTCACACCACCCTCGGTACACACACTGAGACTGCACACACACAATGCACACTACAGGCTGGCATACAGCAGCGAATGCACATACAGACACAGCTGCACTACTTGGTTCACGTATCCTGTGAGTAGTGCGTGATCATTTTCCTTCATTCACACACTGACATAGAAATAAAATGACAGTGTCCCACAGCTTTCTCACCCACTTAAACAAACTATAGTTCTAATCATGTCTCAGAAAGGGGTGTCAACTTTTTTTCTTCTTCTTCTTCTTCTTCTTCTTTTTTTTAATTAAAGGACTTTTGGTCTGCTGAAAACATCAGGATACTCTTACATTTTGTATATGTTGTCAAATTTTAGAAGTACTGAAAACTGAAGCCACTTTGTTTTTGGAGAGAAAAGAAAGTAGAGGAACTGAAGCATGCACATAACTCTTGTATATACTGTACTGAACTAGTAGTGAAGCCACATGATGACCTCATGGGTGGCGCTGTATGCTAGCACAGCTCCGGCTGTTTCTCTCAGCCTTAAAAGCGAACTCTGCAGTCGGGATTTTCCAGATGTGTTGAAAGGTGTTGAGCCAAAGAGAACAAAGTGGTTGCAGGGAAAAAGTGTCTGAAAACAAAATGGTATATTTCTTTATTTCTATTCTTTTTGCATTGTTTTTTTTTTTCCCCTCGAAGAAACAAGACTGACTGCTTAATTCATGCTGCAGAGTTTTCCTTTTAAATCGGGCAGTTACGCATCTTTTTTGATGGCTTTGCTTTGTACCCATCAGGGGCTGTGTTAGCAAACCCGCACCACAGACTTGGCTACTAAGTGGGAGAGCCCCAGTGTCTCCCCAGTGTCTTTAAAGCATTTCTTTAGTTAGTGTTGGAAAAATAAATGCTTTCTTTTTTCTTTTTGTAGTACGTTTTAATTTATGTTTGGATTATTGTTAAGATATTTTAAATGGAGAAGCAGTGAAGGATGTATGTATTCAGAGAATAGATCAGGATATGTAATATTCTGTCTAACTTAGTTGTATATTTAATTGCTTACACGAGAACATGGACATTTCTCTCTGTGTTTGATACATGCTTGATGTACTGTAGGCTCAAATGATAATGTAAAAGCTGACAGAACCCCTCCATGCTTTTCAAACCTGTCCGTTAACACTAATACAGATTCTACCTGAAGGTGTCTCTGATTCTGAATATTCAGAGTCAGGATTTGTAAACGGCTCTTTACCAAAGTCTCCCTAAGCTAAACAGTTAGCGCTATGTAAGTCATTCAAGATCAAATGTACAGGTCTGCTCCTCATATCCTACCGTATTCACCTTATTCTTCATATTTATCTAATTTATATTGCTTCTACTCGGACAAAGCCTTTGGGAAAGAGTTCATGTTTACAAAAACTGACTGGAGTATAAAAAAGGAAACTAATTTATCTGTTGTATTTGACATCGAATGATGTTACATGAAGGAATTATTAAGAATTGTTCAATTTCTGGTGAAATTAGTGTGTTGATCTAACAAATTGGTGTCGTTTAAGTTTTTCAGGAGGTACTATGTTTCAAACTTCCTACTTCTCGACACCACTGTGAGATTACAAACCGACTCGTGTTTTAAGCTCTGTACCTCCAGTTCCTTAATTGAGTGCTAGAAAGATGAAGAATATTTTTTGTTTCTTTGTTTTGTTGCCTTCAACTAAAATCAGGAGCGAAATGGAAAATTAATGTGTTTGTTCAAAGAGGGTTAAAAATATCCAAGTAGCAGCTGTTCTGGGACCATAGGAGCCAGTTTATTGTCACGTATCATCCAAATGTCACATCTTGTTGCACCCCCAGAGTTGGACTGTAACCTGATGTACTGTTTTTGTTTTGTACAGGACTGAGATGCTGCCATTTTTTTTTTTTTTTTAGTTTTAAAGCAACATTATTGTAAAAGTTCCGTCTAAAGGTGTACCCTGCTGTTTGTATGTATTCTTTTAACCATACTTATTAATTGGTATTCACAATAAAACCAGGCCAAATGTACAGAATACTAATGACTTCACTTGGCTTGATATTGTGTTCATATATTTACACAAGTAAGGGTAGTCCTGATTATCACAGTATGACACACACAGTCTGAGTTATTTAAAGGATTATCCGTCTGTCATGCTAGGAAGTATAAACCACCATGAATCAGTTTCACCTGCTTTGGTGTGACTCAGTGTGACAACAGGTGCAGTGATTAGGCAACGACCAAACAACCCCTCCAAAACAGCAAAGACTGTGCAGATGGTCGATGCAGACTGTTGCTCTCTCCCTGCTGACTGATTTTTCTCTGGTTTTGCTGCAGCTGGTTCAGGTTGCACAGGTAGTCTCCCAGCACACTGCTGTGTCTCCCAGCGCAATTCCCAGAGTGTGGAGGACATACCAGGAAATGGACCTGCTACTGCAAAGAGAGCTTAACAGGGAAGGAGAGGGGGTGTAAACCCAGCAGCAGGACCGGTATTCGTTTGTGTGAAAAAGAACGCTGCCAGAGTTCTATGTTCTATGAGTTATGAAAGAGACTCCATGAGGGTGTCATATAGGTCAATGCTCACAGCTCAACATCATGCAGCTTGACTGGTGTTTACCACTGACACCCTGTTCTCTTCACAGATGAGAGCGGGCTCATGCTAAGCAGATGTGCCAGATCTGAAAAAGAAACAACACGTTATGCTTTCTAACTGGACAGAAGATATCACTGACGTTTAACCGATTTGCTTTTATACTGTGATGATTGATGCTTTAATGATTAAGTTTTTGAGCAATTTTGTTTAATTGTTTACTGTTTGTGAGACTTAGGTATTTCTGCATGAGGAAAACTTATTTGGTTGATATGAATTAGACATAATGGACATATCTGTTACAACAGGTAAGACAATATTTTACAGTCTCTGTCCTACATGCCCTCTGCCTTTAACATAACACAATGCAGGGAAGTTCTCCCAAAATTACACAAGCACCCAGGATATTACATTCATATCGTACTCACCAGTCAAAGACAGGCCAGCCAAACTTTTAAACTCCTTAAGCTCCCTCCAAACCCCTCCTACAATCAGCCCTACATGATTGAGAAACTTGGAAAAACTAAATGATTATATAGTTTGATTTCATTTCAGTAAGAAACTAGAAAATTGTCCTCTTCCTTGCCACTAGGTGGAGTTTGGTGTATGTGTAAGCAAGGCTGTAAGCGTGTCACTGTGATTTTAAATTAAATTATTTATACAGCGCCAAATCACAACAACTGGCTTCTTTAAATGAATGCAGTAGGAAGTAATTAAGTTTTATCTGTTTGGGAATTTAACAATGGAAAGGTATACCTCCATTTCAGCTACACACACACACACACACATACAAATCCATCCATGGTTTTCCAAATGTTAATGCTTTATATATCAAGAATGTATTTCATAACTAAGTAATTTTTCTTTAGAGAAAAGCAAGAACCTAGAAAATCCTGCTTCTTGCCACCAGGTGGAGATCTGAGCATGTCTGAGCAAAGCTGCATGTAGCCATTCAGCATGTCACTGTGATTGTAACTGCAGTAGGAAACTATTAAGAATAGTTTATGCTCACTATAAAGGTTTATCTGGTTGAAATTTTAACATCAACTCACTGGAAAATTATATCTGCAAACAATGTGTGTATTACTGTAAAAAAACAACAACAACACATGCGTCAAACAACCAAATATCTTAAGATAACACTTTTAGGATCCCACCTGCATCTCCTCTTCGCATAAGTGAATGCAGAGAGGTTCTCCAAAACTACACAAGTATCCAGGATGGCACATTCCTAAAAATCCTCCATATTCACCTGCGATGGGCATTTAAAAACAAATGTCACTATTCCTTTCTGGAAGGTGTGCACAATTATAGCTCGGTGTAATCTACCCCTGTGATATTATAGGATGGGAGATCTCTTCTTTGTCACCCCCCATAAAAAAAAAAAGACAAGCATGATCACCTCATTACCTCAGCAATAAAATAATACAGCCTCCAGTGCAGTGTAAGCAATGTCAGTGTGCAGAGTCCAGCGTCTCCACGGGCTCGTTTTTAGGAGATGATTGTTAAAGTCTTAAGCTCTGAGTTCGGATCAGCAACTGGTAATCCAGCACCATGCCCTCGGGGAAGAAAGTCAAGCTCATCCTGTATGAGGTGCTGCAGTTTGCAGCACTGATTGTACCCATCTTTGTAATCATGGAGAGATTTGCCAGCCTCATATACAACGTGAAAGGACGGGATCACACAGCATACTGGCTCGTTGTGGCGGCTTCTATTGCCTATGTGACCTCTGTGACCTTGCTGGTGTGGGCTCCTGTCAGATATATGACTATTAAGCAGCGGGGATTCATCAGAGAGGTCATGCAGTGGTGAGTTGAGGCTTTTGGAACGTAATAAGTGACAAGCTTATTGTTTTGTGTGTATAAACATAAACCGAGTCTGTGTAACCTTTAAAAAAAAAATTATAAATCTATCTTAAATGTGAAAAGTCGAGTTTACTGAGTAAACTTTAGTTCAGTTCTGTGATTTGCTGCTACAGTCTTAAATTGTCTGGTATTACAGCTCATCATTTGGTAGTATTTATTGCAACTGAAATTAAGGATCAACTATTTTAACTATTAATTATTTGTTTAATGACTCTTCTCTACTAAGTGCTACCCCTAATAATACAACCTTTTAGCTCATGTAAGTATATTTATGTCTTAGAAATGAAGTCTTCCCTTACTCTCAAAAGGGAATATAAACCAAGTGAGCATAGATAACAACTGTAATTGAGTGTAGCTGCTGTGTTATAGAGTAGAATTATTAAGCTGCATAAAACTGAAAGACTACTTCAAAGTCTTTTCAAACACAAATTAAAAATCTAAATATAAACTCATGCACTTGTTAAAAAAAGAACAGTTACGCTTCATTATGGGATGATCATTATGTAAATGTAAGCTGTGTGTTTTTCAGGAGACCAACAGCATTGGCATATCTAATCCTGTGCACATTACCGTGCTTTGCTATCCTAATAGCCAGCTCCAAGGTAATGTCACCAAGACTGATTGATCTTGTCACTGAGGAGCACTTGTTGATGTTTTGTTCAGTCATGCTCTGACAGGGTCCTTGAAGAGGCATACAGAATTTGTTGTAAACAGTCCATTAGAGGCCACAGTATTAAGACACTATAATTATTCACTGAGTGAACAGCGACATGCTACACTGCACCACACAGAAAGAAAAGCATCCCTTCTCACGGACTCACAATGATCTCTTGAGGTTTACTTATTCAATGTCAATCTACAGGTAGCAAGAAGTTGTACTCTTAAACAGTTGTATTGTATTCTTTATTAGGTAATTATATAGTAATGAAGTAAATACTACATGTTTGTACACCTATTGTTTTTGCCATATTGTCAAAGAATTTGTGAGAAGGACTTTGGCAGGGAAAATAGGTCCCCAGTCACAAGACTGCCATCCCTCTGAGCTATTCAGTAACCTATAGTGAAAACAACAGGTTGTCCATTAACTTAAGGTTTGATGCTATCCCCGACCCTAAAAAGAAAAGAATTTTCATTCCTACATTACACTGTGTCATTTAGTATTTTATTGCTGTTCCAACAAGAACATAAATAAGCACAAAGATGTTTTTCATATTTATTCACCCAGTGTTTCTTATTTTACGGGCGTAAAGATGTAAATCTGCAAGGATAGGGAAGTAAATCCTAATGGGAATGCAGGCGCTTCTTTCTCATTGGAGACAAATGTTACAAAGACTGTCAGTTTCATTTTTTTTTCCTCACTTTATTCTTTACCATTGCTTATTCATTCATTGTTTTTTTTTCTATTATTGTGAAACCACAGGTGCAGGTGGACAGAGGACAGACACTGGACAGTTTCTCTGAGTTGCCAGTTTCCCTGGTGCTTTTCTTCCTCATCTGGGTGGATATCATTGAGAGGATCCGACCCTGCAAACTCATGGGAAAATGTAAGGCTTGAATTCTTCCAAATCTTTTATGATTATTGAATATTTTTGCATCACATTTCATCTTCTGTGGGAGTGGTTATTTAACTGAAGCCATAGACCCTTTGCGCTTATTTTATTGGTTTGTTATTTTATTAATGCAGCACAGACTGCAAGCTAGTTCAGAGAAATATCCCTCACTTCACTCACATCAGATTTCAAATCAGAATCAGAATCAGAATACTTTATTAATCCTGAAGGAAATTAGGGTTACAGCAGGCAGCACGCTAATGGCGCTTGCGCACTTACAAAGGAACCTTCTGACCAAACTTTACACAAACATCACATTGGGAAGACATGTCAGAGAGGTAGGCTGATAGGAAAAAAAACGAAAATACATAACATGAGGTGAGAGGAGGAGAAAAAAAACTCCACTCAGACTGAGCTCCTAGTGGCAGATCAGTTTGATAACAGAAAAAAAACACATCAGCACAAAAAGCACATGACTATCAATACACCATAGAAACACAAGACAAGCAACAGGGGCGGGTAGAGAGTAAGAGAGAGCCGGTGTAGACAGCGCATCCGGTTCTGCAGCATGTCTGCGCTGGTCCAGTCGACCGCCATCTT